CCCTTGCTCCTAATGGAGGCAGAATGTGGCCCCAGAGATCCATCTTTGGCCTGTCCCATCAGTGGGTTAGAACATCTGCTTTGCATGCAGAAAGTGCCATGTACAGTTCCAGGTCTCCCCAGGTCGGGCTGGGTCTGCTGCCAGCCTGACACCCTGACCAGCTGCTGCAAGCCAGTGCAGGCCACCTTAGCTAGATGGACCCACAGTCTGGACTCAGCATAAGCTTCTATCCCATGTTCCCCTGGCCTTGTTTTCGCTCCCACGTTGAAGGCTGTGGCCAAAAGACGCCAACCCAGCAAGCTTCCTCTAGACATTTCAAACAAATCTGGTTTAAAAATAAACCACGTTTTTAAAATAGCAGCATTCTGACCATCTGCACTACCCCTGCTGGGTTTCGGGTCGCGCGGGGGATGTGTTGGAACATTTTGGAGTTTCTAAATCTAATCTCGCAAGCGCTTAAGTCTCCATCAAAGGGGCAGCTGCTCCAAGGCAGCGTGGAGGAGTCTCAGCACCACTGCGGTGGCAAAGGAAGAAGAGAAGAAGAGTTTGGATTTGATGTCCCGCCTTTCACTCCCTTTAAGGAGTCTCAAAGTGGCTAACATTCTCCTTTCCCTTCCTCCCCCACAACAAACACTCTGTGGGGTGAGTGGGGGTGAGAGACTTCAGAGAAGTGTGACTAGCCCAAGGTCACCCAGCAGTTGCATGTGGAAGAGCGGGGAAGCAAACCCGGTTCACCAGATTACGAGTCCACCGCTCTTAACCACTACACCACACTGGAACGGAAAGGGAAGTGAGAAGACGACGCCCGTCCTTCAATAAGAAATTCCTCAGTAAAGTACAGTGGTACCTCAGGTTAAGTACTTAATTCGTTCCGGAGGTCCGTTCTTAACCTGAAACTGTTCTTAACCTGAAGCACCACTTTAGCTAATGGGGCCTCCTGCTGCCGCCGCACCGCCGGAGCACGATTTCTGTTCTCATCCTGAAGCAAAGTTCTTAACCTGAAGCACTATTTCTGGGTTAGAAGAGTCTGTAACCTGAAGCGTATGTAACCCGAGGTACCACTGTATTGTAAATTGCTCCCTCGGGCTCTGGACTGTGTAAATTCCTTGCTTCCAGATGCCCATGCAAAACCGAGCATGAATCCTGATCTCTTTGCATCAAATTTTCAGGAAGCCTATGTGACCGTTTAAGGGACGCGGGTGGCGCTGTGGGTAAAAGCCTCAGGGCCTAGGGCTTGCCGATCGAAAGGTCGGCGGTTCGAATCCCCGTGGCGGGGTGCGCTCCCGTTGCTCGGTCCCAGCGCCTGCCAACCTAGCAGTTCGAAAGCACCCCCAGGTGCAAGTAGATAAATAGGGACCGCTTTCTAGCGGGAAGGTAAACGGCGTTTCCGTGTGCGGCTCTGGCTCGCCAGAGCAGCGATGTCACGCTGGCCACGTGACCCGGAAGTGTCTCCGGACAGCGCTGGCCCCCGGCCTCTTGAGTGAGATGGGCACACAACCCCAGAGTCTGGCAAGACTGGCCCGTACGGGCAGGGGTACCTTTACCTTTACGTTTATGTGACCGTTTATTGCTCATTTGTTCTGGTTTGTTTGTGCAGGAGGTTACATGACACGTGCCAAGCAGAAGGTGTCAGGTTCAATCCCAGCACCGTACCTTTAGTTAGGGCTAGTGGAGAACTCTTTCTGAAACCCTGGAGAAACAGCTGCCAGCCAGGGTACACAACACTGAGCAAAATGACCAAAGGTCCGATACAGAATAAGGCAGCTCAGTGGACAGCCTGCCATTTTACGAACTGCTGTGCTCTGTTTTGAACTGTTGGTGACACACCGGAATTCTTTTTTTAAAAAAAGTGTATCTTTTACCAAAATAGCAATTATCATCCTGGCTTTGAAATGAGCACAGAACGGGCTGTTTCGCAATAAAGAAAAGCTGTATCCAGAGGGGTGTGAAGGGTTTTCTTGAACGCTTGCAAAACACAGGGGGGGTAACAGGATTCCAGAAGAGAACTTTGGCATGAGTCAATACTGTTGTTCCAAGCATGGCTATTTTCATCTGGGAAATGTTTCAGGGCATGTGTTTACACTGTAAACCTCAAGTGATTTTAAACTGGGTTAACCCTCACAGCGCAATCACCACCCCTCCCTTTTATTTTATTTTTTAAAAAGAAAGAGAGAAATTATGCAAGGGAAGCTTTTCTAGGCATTTCTAGAGGTAAGCAGCCAGCTGCTTTTTTAAAGGCATAGTATAGCCAGCATAAAGAAGGCTGATCGCCGAAGAATTGATGCTTTTGAATTCTGGTGCTGGAGGAGACTCTTGAGAGTCCCATGGACTGCAAGAAGATCAATCCTCTCCATTCTGAAGGAAATCAGCCCTGAGTGCTCACTGGAAGGACAGATCCTGAAGCTGAGGCTCCAATACTTTGGCCACCTCATGAGAAGAGAAGACTCCCTGGAAAAGACCCTGATGTTGGGAAAGATGGAGGGCACAAGGAGAAGGGGACGACAGAGGACAAGATGGTTGGATAGTGTTCTCGAAGCTACCAGCATGAGTTTGACCAAACTGCGGGAGGCCGTGGAAGACAGGAGTGCCTGGCGTGCTCCGGTCCATGGGGTCACGAAGAGTCGGACACGACTAAACAACAACAACAACAACAACATAGCCAGCATCACCAAACAGAAGCAGAAGGTGATTATGTGCCTAAAAAAAGAAAAGAAAAAGAAAAAGAAAACTGGGAAATGAGGCTCTGCATGCTAGGGGTGGCATGGGATTTATTATAAGGCAGGGGTCAGCAATCTTTTTCAGCCATGGGCTGGTCCACCATCCCTCAGGCCATGTGGTGGGCCGGACTATATTTTGAAGGGGGGAAAAAAATGAACGAATTCCTATGCCCCACAAATAACCCAGAGATGCAGTTTAAATAAAAGGACACATTCTACTCATGTAATAACACAGATTCCCGGACCGTCTGTGGGCCGGATTGAGAAGGCGATTGGGCTGGATCCAGCCCCCGGGCCTTAGGTTACCTACCCCTGTTATAAGGCTTGCGGCACCCCCCTAAAAAAGCACCCAAGGTTTTTTTTTAAGAAAATAGGAAGACGCCTATGGGAAGCCCACCAATCCACCAGGACATTAATTTAACCACGTTCTCTCCCCCCACCGGCCCGCATTTGTGATTTCCAGTAATTGCTCTTCACAGACCTAACACTGGAAGATATTTGACATGCAAAATCTTTACTGACATGCAGGTGCGGCAGTGAGAAAAGCTGCCCTGCTGACTTTCAGTTTGCTCATGCAAACTCCCAAAGATGCAAAGCGACAGAAAACTGTGATGCAACTGCAAGGTTCAAAGGGAAGGCGCTGAGGAGCACCTCTGATGGGTGGGAGGGCATGAGGAGGAGCGGGTAAAGGTGAGTTGCGATGGCATCACATTCTAGAGACCAGGGACCTTGCAAGACAAGCTGCATCTATGGGCTGCAGGACACTCAGGAAGTGGGGGAAAACGCTTGCCTGGTTGATTGGCCAAGCAGAATACCACCGCACACCAGACTCATGAAACGTCTGAGAGACAAAGGCTTATGCAATCTAACACCCATGCATTGTGTCCTGCAAGAGCGCGAGATGCTATCTCACCGCTCCCTCATGTCTGCAGTCTCGGGCAGGCAGTAAAAGCAGGTTAACTAGCTTCCAGGCGGAAAGCCATTCTTAATGGGTCAGGAGTTGTGCAGGCCAGCCTGCCCGACACATTCTCACCAAAGCTTCCTGCTGCATTGCTGCTGCTCCCGTTACTCTTAGCAGCAGCCTGATTTGCAGAGATTCATTTGCATGTCATCATGTGAGTGAAAAGCTTCACTGCCCAATTTCAGCAGATCAAACTGTTGCTAAAGGCCCAGGAACAAGAAAAGTCTTATTTTTGCCCCCTGTCAAGTTACGGGATCCTAATGCTTCCCCCATAGCTGTCAACCGTCCCTTATTTGGCGGGAAACTCCCTTATCCCAGTGCCGTTTCCCGCTGCTGTCCCGGACTGATGATATCCCGTAGATTTCCCGGGTTTCAATGCTGCCTGGGAGAAAAGGGCTACTACCCCCACCTCCCAGCCACCCCCACGGATAAGACCCATCCCCACAAGGGTCTGCTTACATCACAGCAGGGCCTCGGTGAGCATCTGTCTGTCTCAGGAGATAAGGGAGGAGTGCGCCTTCAGGGGAGAATGTCAGCTTGTTGGAGAGTCGCAGCACCCGCCACCCAACACACGTAACTCCCAGGGCACACCAGGAGCTGCAAAGATGATGTGCACTCGGGGGCGGAGGCAATCCGCCTACGGGGCGTGACTATGGTGCCATCTGGGGGCTTCCTTCCCTGAATGAAAAGCAGCCAGCTAGCCCCCCCCCGGACTCCAGCGAGACTTTGGGAGCTCTAAGCAGGCGGAGGTAACCGTGTCTGGTCCATCCTGTCGGGCGGCAGGGCTCACCCTCTTCTTTAAAGGGCCAGCGAGGAGAGAACTATCGTTGCTTCAGCCGCCCGAGGCATCCCTTACGACTTTAGCATGCACAGCTAGATAAGCAGGGTCTTGCTTGGTGCAAGATCTAGGGCAGGCATGCACTTTTATGGGGGAAAGGAAAGGAGCTGGTTGACTAAAATCCCTTATTTTGGCTGCTGATCCCTTATTTCCGAGGCTGCTGGCCCCTTATTTTCAAATCTGTAAGTTGACAGCAACTTCCCCCTAGGGCTTCCCCAATACATTTTGGCACCTGAGGCAAACCACAAAATGGTGTCCCTTCCCCGGCCAGGAACAAGGTGGGAATAAAGACCTTCATCAGGAACAAGCATATGAGAAGGAGACTAGCAGCACCTCTCTAAGAGGCCACTGAATCTGGGGTGTGCTGCAGCTGGAGCAGTAACAGCGGGTGGTACATTCCTTGGAGGCTGGATCTGTTGCCCCTGGGTATCCTTGCCTCACGGGCAGGCCGGTCCTGCCTCCCCCTCCACAATGTACACAAAAGTCTTTTCCATTCTCAATTTATTATTATCATTATTATTAAAAACAAAATTATTCATCATTTTACAACCAGAATAACAGCCCAAATTTCCACAATCATCAGCTTTGCGTTCCATCTCCAATTCTGCACTCTCGCTCATATCTGAGCGGTCTTCACCGCTTCTCCTGTCCCGCAGGACACCGAGTAATCATTCCAAAGGCCCGGTGCCAACCGGATGCAAGAGGGAGACAAGCTTTCTTTTGTGGGGGTTCCTTCATTGCAGACGACTGTGCCAGGCCTCCTCAAGATGGGAGACGACGCATGGGTTAACTGGGGCATGATGAGCCCAGCGCTTGTTCCAAACACTGCTCCATTGTCCTTCCGTCCTGAAGCTTAACGTGAATACATGCCGTCTTCCAGCCACACCCAGCGATTAGCGAGGCCCAGAGTGTACGAGATGCTATCGCAGCAGAGGGGCACTCTCAGTCGAAGATGACAAACTTTCGGCGTGGGGTGGTGGAGGAGGAAAACGCACACCCAAAACACAACGAGGGAGCAGAAGGCACGGGATTCCCCTCTCGTTCCTATCAGAGATTTTACGAGGTCTGCCTTTGGCTCAGGCTAACATCAACAGTGCCTGGCATGTCTGCCCCATTAGCTAAAAGCTGGCTAGTTGCAAAACCGGTGCTGATGTTTGAAGCAAAACGGACAACTGCTCCCTGCTAAGCGTCCTCCTCCATTCTTCCTCGCCACACTTCGTTGAATTTTGCAGTTCGCCTGCCCTTTCTGAGACATTTCTTTGCAGCGTGGGCATTGAGCTAATCTAGAATGCAGAACCCCCTGTCCCTGATTCTACACCTGCAATTAAAATAAATTAATCTCCTGAGACCCTGTCCCCCCCCCCCTGCTGGCTCCAGGAATTGATTATTGTTATAGCCTTATCTTACTATAGCCCCACAACGATTCTGCAAAGGAGGTTAGTCTGAGGGGTGGTTAACTTGCTCAAGGCTGCTCAGCGAGCGTCACGGTTCTTGCAACCGACCCCAGTGCTTTGCCCACTGGCTCTGCGGTCGCCCAGGGGACACGGGGAGACATCGGATCTCTTCCTCTTCCACGAGTGGTGGCTTCCTAACCCCTATCCAGTGCTCTAAGCCTCCAGACATTTGGCACAGTTCTCTTCCATTTCTAGACACCACATAGCTGGAGAAACATGGAAGGGAATCTACTCAAGACGCCTCAACTCACCCCATGTTCTATAGCAGCCCTGATGTGCTTAACCAATCTGCTCTGCAAAAGCATCTTGCTCCTTCTGTTATAGACTGAATTTGGTTGTTAATCACGAGAAATAGGGTGGTGGTGGTGGAGAGGGGAAAATACAAGGCACAAGGTAGAGGGGAAATAATTATGGCTTTGCCACCACAAATCCTCCCTCCCACCCACATGTCACCCCGAGTTCCATATCCACACATAGGGCACTTTCAAATTCACACGAGCAAAAGAATAGCTGAAGCCGAAAGCCAGACTGCAGGGCAAGGGGTGTTTGCTGTCTTGTTGAGATGTTGCCAGTTCATTCTGGACAGTAAGAGGGGTCCACGGGTCTGGCCTGACCCCCAAGCAAGTTTTATGCCTCCTCAAAAAAGAATTAAGCTCAGAAGTATCTGGAGTCAGATGGAGGCATCAGGAGCGAAGGTCCTCTCCAGTCCAGGCTGGCCCTGGACACAGCTGCCACACCAGCCTGTTTCCCAGTGCACACTTTCCCGGATATTGAGCTCTTTCTTCGCCGGTGCCTGGAATCCAGCTCCCTCAGGGAGGGCTTGTGGTGTCTGGGGTAGGCCTGAGGGAGCAGCAGCCACACCGCTGCCTAGCGACACCACAACCCGAGGGACAGGAGAAAGAGGGGAGGTTTGGCACAGCCAGGAAGCGAAACGATAGCAGGATGGGAAGAGAGAGAGAGAGAGAGAGCGAGCGAAAGGGAAAAGAGGTATCTAAAATGTTTCTAGTTTCTCCCCACACAGATCCGAGGATGAAACAGCCTCCCTCTTGTCATGCATGCCAGCCACGGCAGGGTGGGTGGAAGAAAGGCCTGGCTTTCAAACGGTTTGGTTCCATTCCAAACCCTACCCTCAATTACAGCAGGTGGCAGGGCGTGGAGACAAACTTCTCCTTTTTTTGTTTTCAGCTCGGCGGGTTGGTAGAGGAGAACCACTTGAGGGGTCTCTGTGTGTGTGTGTGTTGTGTGTGTGTAAGGGAGGGACCGATAGTCTTATCTTCAGAAGAGGCAACAGTTTTTTTTAACCCCCCCCCAACCAAAATAAAATCCAGGCAAATGAAGCAGAGGTGAGTCATAGAGGATGTTTGCACTGGTGAGCCCATTAGGGGAGATTCATCTCTGATCATTTCTTCTTGATTTCTGAGTATATTATGTTGCTTTCCAAAGGCCGGGTGGCCGCTGGCTGTGGCTGAGGAGGGTGGTTGGCCTTGAAGGCTAGTGTTGAATATTGTATGTCCTCTTCACCCTGCAAGAGAACATCAGAAGGAGTCAGAGGGAGCAAAGGAAGGTTCGAAGGCAGGGCCCTTGCCACAGGTGGGCCTGTGGGGGGAGCAGCCCCTCCTGGGATCTTGAAAGGCCCTTCCCCGAATCTCCAGCTTTCATTGGAATTAAGAAAAGCAAACAGCAGCACACAACAAGGCGCAGGCCTTTTCACTTGCAAGGTTAGAAGGAAAAGCATGCAATCGATAATCTATCTGTTACTCAGGAAACATCAAACTTCCAGTGATCCAGCCAGCGAGTGTAAAAGTACCAGGGTAACAGCCAAGAATTAAACTCTTATTTTGATACTTTGAAACACATTTCATTTCTTTGGAATTTAACCATCTGCGCAATTAAGATTACTTTTAAGCTTACTAGGTTCTCTGTATTTTGCTACTGGCTGTTTTGCTCTGGTCTTCCTCCTCTGCTGGCCAACACTTACAGCTTATCCACACTTAACTTTTCCTCCACGCTTTCCAGGAACGGTCCACACTATAAAGCTCTGTGTCCAAGCATCCTTTTTTTTTTAATCCATAGCTTTCTGCACAAGAACCTGCTCTTTAAAGCTGAATTGGAGCAAATGGCAACCCACAGAAAACTTGAATGGCCATTCGTTGCGCTTCAGCTTCAAATAGTTAGATTTTGCGGGGAAAGCTCCGGGGCAAAAGAAAAGAGCTCTCAGACTTGGAGTTTTAAAGCGTGGACCTGTGCCTGGAAAGAGAAGGGCAAAAGGTAAGGGTGGCTAAGCCTTTAGCCAGCACCACCTGAGCCCCAAGCCCCCTACCCACTGCACATGAGCAGGTCCAGTTTAAAAGGTGGCGATTCTACTTGAATGCGATGAGGGAATCACAGAATCGTAGAGTTGGAAGGGATCTCAAGGGTCCTGCAATGCAGGAATGTCAGCTAAAGCATCCTTGACAGATGACCATCCAACCTCTGCTCAAAAACCTCCACGGAAGGAGAGTCCACCATCTCCCGGGGGAGGCCGTTCCAAACAGGTGAGGTGGAGGCCAAAGAGAAGCTGATGAATCTCCTAGCAACTAGCTCCTGGTTCTCCTTTAGGGAGCCCTCTCCTCCTGCTCTGAGAGAGACACATCTAATTCCCTCGGAGGTGCTAGAAGCGTGGTAAAATTAAACTCTACGTTGACCAGCAGACTGTACAGACTTACCTCACTTACCCTGGAGCAAGCAAGACACACCCAGGGTAGTTTGGCTGTACGGGCACCAAAGTCCACTCACCTCTCAGGCCAGAATCCTGGATCATTAGGGCTAGGATACCAAGTGGCCAGAACACAAGGGTGGGGAGAGGCAGATTGTTAAGCATGATAATGCTTTTGAAAATTTGGAAGGGACCTCGGGGGTCATCCATCCCACGACCTGCTGATGCAAGAAATCCACTACTACAGCATCTGTGCTAGGTGGACCAGTGCAGCTTCTGCCTGAAAATCTCTAATGAAGGACTTTGCCACCATTAAGGCAATCCAAACCTCTTGTCCCCATCAAGAACTTGAGTCGTTGTCACATTGCTACGTTCTGCAGATGAAGCTGCTGTTAGCAGGTGAAAGAGTTGGGGCTGCTTCCTTGTTCCAGGATTGGGAATGGGCTCAGGAAGCCCCCAGACCTCTCTAGCGCTGGGCGATATCTGGTTTTCAGCACTGTGATATATCACCAGCTAAACATCGCAATGTACCGATATATCACAATGTCTGAAATAAGGATGGAGCTATGTTGAGGCATTGGCCGGCTTCACGGTTTCCCCCACATTGTGATTTTTGGATAGCACACACACACACACACACACACACATGATGATTTGCAAGATATTGCCAGGTCAACAATTATGAAGCCAATATCATGATACGGACTTCAATATCATGATTCCGTCCTTACCGGTGTGGGTTTGGTGTCAGTGACGCCCTGGTCTGAAATGACAGAGACAGGACAGAGAGAGAGTATCAGGGAACTGGCAGGTACAACAGACAGAGCCTGAACACAAGCCCACGGGAGCCAAGCAGGAGACACTGAAAACCCACAACCCTCTGCCCTTGGACCACAGTGGGGCGGGGACTCCCACTGGATTAGCGGAAGCAGACAGGACAAATGGGGTGAGCTGGATTAGTAATGTGGTAAGCAATGAAGGTGCCTGGCCAGGATTTCCCCCTTGGGATCAGGAATCTCCTAAAGGGCCGTATTCCTTTAGGGCTGACCTCTTTGACCATGTGCCATCCAGACATTGCTGGGCTCCCAACAGGAGAGTCCAACAGGATCTGCGGGGGGGCACAGCTTAGCTACCCCCACTTTTAGGGCTGCTTAGAAAGGAGAGGTCCACCGGGTATGCACAGCTGCTACTTTCACTAAACCACAGTTTAGTGAAAGGGGAGGGGGGGGAGGCCTAGCAGGTAAACATTCTCTCTTGGGGAAGCTCTTAAAACCCCAGAAGCCTACACTGAGCCCAGACTGGCAATCCTACAACATAGTGGACATGAGCAACGTGTGTTTAGGCATCTGTCTGTCTTGAGAGACAGTGCGCCTCCAGGAGTGACGTCAAAGCGCTGCGCGAGCAGCATCCAAGTGTGCCTAGAGGTCCTGAGCTGCCCACATGACCAGACCGCCCTCTTGGCCTCGCTGATGTGGTCCAAAGGAAAGCAGAGCAAGACATTTGGCGCCAGCGAGGCTGCAGGAGTTGTACAACGCCAACCGTTTTAGGGACTCCACTCTGGATTTGTGTAGGGTTTACTCCTGAGTCTGTTCTTCTCCCGAAGATATCCCACAAGGCAGCAGAGGTTTAGGATCAGAGTTTTCCTTCTCCTAGATGGGCTCCCATCCCAGATGGATGAGCCCCATCTGCCCCTCACTTCCCTCCACAGCATGTGCAGAAACTGCCTTCTTGACTGTTGGACCAGCTTTTGATCTCGTCTGCTCCATCTGCCAGAGTCTGTCTTCGCATGCAGGGAAAAGTCCCTAGCTCACTGAGGGTTTGAGACCCATCAGCTACCCTCACCTGGTTTAGCCGGCCAGTTGAAGCCGTTTCCAGGGTGTGGTTGCTGTTGCCTGCTGACAGCTTCTAGGAGCCCCAGGTGAGAGCTGAATGCAGGGTGGGGACCAAAGGTGAGCAAGGTAGAGGTCCATCAGCTGGACAGGTGGGACAGGAGAGGGGATGTGTGTGTGCATGTAGACCGCCCCCTCCTCACTCCAGTCTTTCCCCCATCTCACACCCTTCCCCCTTGCTCCAGCCCCACCTGCTGCATCTTCCTACCTGTGCTGAGTCCACCTGAGCACTCCAAGGCCAATGTAGGGAGTAGAGGAAGGGAGCCACCTGCTTCCACCCTCACCCCTCAATTCTTCACTTCCGTTCCTTGCTTCGCACCAAAGCCCAAGCATGATTAAAGAGGCAGGCAAAGAACGGTCTTGGATAGACTTGATTCCAGGAAAATTATGTTGGCGCTGCAGAGGGCAGAAATAGCTGTTCTCTGGAGAGACCAGTCTGGCGAGCCCCATCACCTCCTGCAAGTCCCCTCTCGTGAGCTTTTCCACCACCAGGCTGGCTACAGAGCCACAGCAGGAATCCCAAAAAGACGATGAAGGGTTTTTGTGGGGTGGGCAGAGAGGGGGACAGGGGACAGGAAGATACCCACGCTCCACAGAAAACAGCAGCTTCCTTTGCCCTCCCCAGGAGGGGTCAGGGAAGAGATTCCCCCAGCCAGTCTCTTGGAAATGGGAGCTGGAGCAGCTGTGAAGTCCTTTCTCCCCGCTCCCATGAAACGGATTAAGCAGGAGTTTCCCACGATGCATCTGGTTTGGGGATGGAGCGGTCCTACTTGCCCATGCTTTGGCACAGAAGTGCATGGGAAGTCCATCTACCTTCTTCGTGAACTATAAAGGCTCAGCCTAAATGGGGTGATGGTGGCCGGGGAGAGTAACATAGAGCACACAACACGCGTCACACAGACCCCGGCCCAGCCCCTTGGGCTGATACTTACTGCGGCCGGGAGCTGAGGGTATGTTTCCATTAGATGAGTGTTGTTCCGTCCTCCTAGGTAAACAGCAGACACTGTTTGATCCTATAGCAAGCAGGGGGGTCTCTCCCCCAACAACAGAACCAGCACATTACCCCTCGTCCTATACTAGTGACCAGTCACGTGAAATAATAAATCTCATTTGCTTTCTTTGTGCCACATTGTCATCCATCCAATTTTTTATCTTGCCCTTGGCCACACCAGTGGTGGTTTCCAAACTTTCTACACTGACAGAACCTTCCCCGTATTGACCTGTTTGCAAAGGGAGCCCTTGTGTGCCAGCAAAGGAAACCCCGGTAAATTGCAGGGAATTCTGGGACACATTCTAAAGAGCTCACTCAGTTCACAGGCAACCTCCGGCCCTTCAGAAGCTGCTGGACTACATCTCCCATGATTCCCAGCTAACAGGGCCACTAGTCAGGGATGATGCAAGTTGTAGTCCATCAACATCTACGGAGTTGAAGGGTCCTCAACTGATCATAAAAGGGCACTGGCAAGGCCTTGGGGGGGCCTCGCTGTTTCCCTGTGTGAACTGAGAATTGGCCTAGGGCACATCCCTATGTGGTTATGAGCAAAAACCAGTAGCCATGGGCCAGTCTTGTTTCATCTTCCATTGCTTATGGCTTCATTGGCAAGTGTTGGAGATGATCTGAACCCGCACCCCCAGTCTCTCTGTCTTTCAGACATGCCCCCGACCTTTATACGTCTGTTCTGAGTTCAGGAGACGAATTTTCTCCTCCCGTGAACACCATCAGTCTTTGAAATTTTGCCACTATCATCATCCTACCCCACCCCTTACGATCTCCCCACTTACATATGTATTTGACTTTTCAGGGTCCCCGATAGCTGAAAGTTTGGCAGGTCCATACTTAATATTGTTGCCTAAACATGTCATCAACAATGCTTAAGACTTTACACTTTTAAAAAAGGGTCTATCCAATCATAATTATCCATTCGCTCCATATGTGTGTTTTAAACTTTTTGAATGCTTTTAGTGGTCTCACTGTATGATTTTATGCTTTTATTGATGTACACCGCTTTGATATATTTGTTATATTACAGCAGTATAGACATATTTGTTATAATAAATAAATTTATTTATAAATCAGTAAATAAATGCGTGTGCTTTTGGAGTCACCAGATTCAACAGAGGGCAGGCCTTCTGTGTCTTTTGACAGGCTATACAGAAGCGGGAAATTTCAGCCCCTGCAACTTATTCAAGTTCTTTCCAAGTGTCACAGTGGAAGCAGAAGTTTCTTCCCCTGTCCCATCTTGAATCTGGCAACCCGGGCTAGTGTCTGTGCCTTGGCTGGGAGGCATGAACAGCAGGACACACTTGGTTCTTCCAAGAGATGTGTAAGACAGGGCTCCGACCCAGGCTGGAGAGACAGGAAAGGAACCCGCACCCCTGAGACAGCCTCAAACCCCGAGCGTGAGCAGAGAGACCAATCAAACCAGGTAAATAGAGCAGGAAGGTCCTAGAGAAGCTGGGGAGATGGTAAATTCAGATGGCAAATAGGGAACCCCAATCCAAGATGAACGGGATGGCAAACTTACCCCAAGGCAGTCTTGGTGAACAGGAAATATCCCAGACCTCCAATGAGTGCTACTCCAAGCACACAACCTATGACAATTCCAACAATTTGTCCTGGAGTGAGACCCGAACCTGGTGGAGTTGATTCTGGAAGAGGTGAACAAGAGGAATCGTGAACTTTGGAAAGTACAGTATACACTAGTGGCCAAAATTATGGAAACCTTTTGGGAAAAGTGTATTTCCGAGATGAGATGTCTCATAACACCAATTTTTTTTTGGGGGGGAGTAAGACCATAAAATTATATATCAATGGAAAGATAATTTAATGAAGAGTGTAATGCAACAAAGTTTGTTCAATTATCTGTATTCTATCAAAAGTTATAGCCAAATAACCAGAAAAAGGAAGCACAACATGCTTAGGTTGATATGCAGAAGTTTCCTCCCCCCCCCCCGCAAAGAAAACCAACTCTATGACCGTAATGCCCCTTTCCCTTTACTAAATCAGTCTTTTGGAACCTCTATCCAAGGTTGCCATCTGTTGATTTATTTTAGCGTCCCTAGCTCCTGTGCCTTCAATGTCACTCTGACAAACAAATTCAGACAGTGAACTTTTTAATGGCATGGAGGTAAGTGGTGGTGGGGAAAACTTCACCAGCGTGTTTTCTGCATGGTCTGAGTACTGTTAACAAAGCAAAGGGGCAGGAGTGAAAAAAGAGGAGGCAACTTTACCCCAAGTGTATATGTGGTATGGGTGCAGCGAGGCTTCTCAAACTTTCACTTCATATCCCCTTTCCTCACAGGCGCTGGCCTGAGGATTAATTTTTTAAAAATTCTACAGCTCGTTTCATTTGCCGTAATAGCAAAACGGTTCACAACCCAGAAACCTTATGGGATTCAACAAAACCAGAAAAACCAGCCAAGTACTAGAGGTCAGTCAGGCAAGGCCAGGGCAAAGAGACAGATCTTTAACGGCTGGCAAAAGCAGCCAGGCTGGCCTAATAGGGAGAGTGAGCAATCCACACGGTAGGGGCCACAACAGAAAAGGCCCTCTCGACTCTTATGAATGTAACCTTCATAAAGGTCTGATATGGTTGGGGGTTCCCATCTTTAAGCCATAGTGACGTGGGCAGCCTACTCGGGAGGAGGAAGTCCTGCAAATATCCTCATCCCAAGCTCTATAGGGCTTTGTAAACCAAAACTAACAGTGCAGTCCCTAACCATATCTACTCAGAGGTTATTCGGTTATTCAAGTGGTGATGGCTACCTCCTCCCTAGCCCGGCTGCTGCTCTCCTACCAGGAGCTAAGTCATGGTTTGTGTGTACCTGGGCTGGTGCTTTGTCTCACTCCAAACCAACCATGGGCTGTAGCCAAGGTTTGCTCTTGGCTTACAGCTTGTGGTTTGTTAGAGGAAGACATGTCACGAGCCTGGGTTTGGACCATGTGCTATGACAAACCATGGCTTAGCTCTAGATAGTGTTGAGTAGGGTTGCCATATGTCTGGAATTTCCTGGACATTGCCAAAAAAAGCTCAACAACTTTTGAAATATGGCAACCCTAGTGTTGAGCAACCCACACGCTTGCTCGTTAATACTTAGTCATACTTTGGCTTAGCGTTCCGTGTGAAACACACCACGGTCAAGTGATTTGGAGCTCTCTGATGCACACTCACAGGAGAAGAAGGGAATCTGTTTCTGGTTCATATTATTCTATGACTATTATTATTATTATTATTAATAATAATCCGTCCTTCACCCTACAGTCCCAGGGTGGATTACAGCAATTTAAAATACAACATTATATAAAGTTTAAAAACTTACAATTGCTAAAAGCACAATCACAAAAAACGATTTAATAAAAATAACAAGATCTAATAAAAAGCAATATACAGCTGCTTATATTAGACTTAGGTTTCCAATCTTTCTGCATCTTAAAGGCCGCTTCTTATTTGCTGCAAATTTGCAGCTCTAAGCTGAGAGGTTGTGTCGCATTTTGGTCTGATGTATGTAAGAGGAAGCTGTTGGACTTTTCAAACGCCGAGTACGAAGATGAAAATTAACAAACATCTAAATTTGTTCCTGTAACCAGGGGGTTGGTAGTGAGTCAATATTAACAAATTCACGCCCATGCCTATGGATGATGCTAAGCAAACAAACCAACCAACAAACAAACCAGAACCACCACAAGAAATGGGGTTCTCAGGCTGCAGCACAGAGAGTAGCTCTGTACCTTGCAAACCAGTAGGTCTCTTCACACATCACATGTACAGGGGCAACACAGATACAAAGGGTGTGTGGAGGCTCCATCCCGGAAGACCTGTGGCTCCTCCTGTGTGGAGGGAGAACTTCTGGAGCAGGCAGCCCTTTCTACCCATGTGGGCTCCCTATGGGATTTAGAATGTGGGAAGACCAGGTGTATAAAGCAACATGGGTAGCCCCATGAGAAGAATAAAAAAACCCATGGCTTGCACTTCCTGCACCCCTTCTACAATGCCTAGGCAACCTGTATCATTTTTGTACTTCTGAACAGCTTCTAAACCAATGTCCACACATCTCCGGATCATCATTCCTCCTCCAAAAGAAAACATCTCACTGCTTGAATACTAAAGACGACAGAAAATGTGCCACAAAGTTTTTCCCTAGCATTCAGGTGCAAGAATAGATAACAAGGTCTGGTCCTGCGTAATCTATGACTTTAAACTGCAGTCAGACACCCAGAAACCAAGCAGGTGAAGCTTTTGCTAGTAAAGAGCTGCAACAATGCGGGGTGGGGAAAACCGAAGCTATTACGTTTTCAGGCTGTAGTTAAAGTTTAATTTTTTTAACGCAGTTTATTGTTTGATTATATCTTATCTTGCTTGTCGTGTTTTATTTTGTGACACTGTTAATAGTCCTGCGTGGCCATCTCGCCTAGAAAGGCAGGGTATATGTTTTTTTAAATAATGAAAGGCGCAGGAGCAAGGGAAAGCCTAAACAAGACCTTTGGGTTGGATCCAGTTCCACCTAGTTCCACTGAGATCATGGGGAGTTGTCAGGATGAACTCACTCAACTGGTTTCAATGAGATCTTGGTGCAGCTGACTTTAGATACCACCCTTTTCTGCCCGCAAAAAAGGTCAGTTGCGTCCTCCTCTGTTAATTCCACTCGGATTGGCCACATTTCCAAATAATCAGGTCCAGGGGGAGACTGTGGGACATTCAAAATGCTGGTGGGACAAGAGGCAAATGTGGGCTTGTCAAGGGACTCACCCTGCGTTGTCAATTTCACATTGACAGATGCTGAGGCCAGCTTCTTAACGACGCTGTTGTAAGCCTGGCAGGTGTAATTGCCTCCATCTTCCCAGGCTGTTAAGTCTGTGCTGAAGGTGTTCGCCGTCACATTCATATTAGTATGATTGAAAAACCACCGAAACTGGGCTTCGGGTAGGGACTCTGCAGTACACAGCAGAGCCAAACGGGAACCTAGTTTTAGAGTTACGGTTCCTGTTTGGTTCAGCTTAACGTTATTTGGCCCATCTAGAAAGGAAAGCAAGTAGAATCAGGACCAAGGGGTGGAAACAGGGGAGAGGTGCCTTTGTGTCATCCTGCCCCCCGCGTGTGTGCACCACCCCAAATGCAGCAAGAGAGCAGGCCAACCAGCTTTAGGGCTTAATCTGAGAAAGTGTTCACTGGGGTTCAGCTCTCCAAAGGCATTTTCAATGGCTTAGCTTTAGAAGGCAGGCCTTTATTAATAAAGAAGACAGCATCTGCTAGCATTTGCAGAGTACTTTTCCCGCCTCCCCACGAGCTACCTCCACACATCGGGGTTAGGGAATAGGGGGCTCCTAGCCTCCAAGTATGCTTCGAGCACCAGCACCTCTTATTTCAGAAAGACCAGGGGTGGGGAGATCAAGGGAGAGAGGAAATCCCCATTAGGACTCACAGATGCCCTCCCTGCCAAATGCATGCAGCAATGGCAAGGAGAAAGGAGCCACCAAGCATTTTCAAACCAGGGTTACTTACATGCCAAGCTAATCTTACTGGGGTTGCTTGTGGCTTTGCTGACAGGGTTGGTAGCTTTACATGTATACATCCCTTCCTCATCTTTGGAGACGGCAGTTAGAGTGAGGTTTCGGTTCCTGTTGAAAAGCACAGCCTTATCTAGGACAGGGTTACTGTCCTTGAACCAGGTGACGTTGACATCGAGGCGGTTGGAGGTGTTACACTGCAAGGAGACGCTTGCGTTCTCTGCCACTATGGCTTCTGCAGGCCACAGGACTGGATTGGAGAGGGTTTCTGCACACAAAACAGAAAGAGGGTCATGTTTTGTGGGTCCTCATGGCCCCTAAATCTGGGCAGGGTCTCTTCAAGTGTGGTTATTAGGGAAAGTGCAGCACTTTGTCTCTGGAGTGTGTCAGAAATCCTGTCACTTTTAAAGCAGAATCCTGCTTCTTTTGAAAGCATAGCTCAAGGTTGCTATACGAAAGTGTTCAAGGAATTACGTACTGAATGGCTAGGGTCGTGGGTTGTTTTGGGCACCGTTGTCTGTGTTGCATTATAGAGAACACACAGAAAGGGTGTGAGTGTGTGTGTTGGAAGAGATACATTTTGGCAGCATTTCCAGGCAAGACATCTCGAGGAGGAAGCAAGTGAGCTAGAAGCTTCCTGCAGCTGCTCTCCAAAGGCCTCTTCTTAGCAGCAATTTACATGGAATTTGCAAACTGTGATTTAATGAAATTTTGAAATGAGAGTAGTTGAGACAGCAACTGACCTCATGCTTTGAAATGAACAATTAAGTGGCGCCAGCGATTGCTATAACCCAGACTTTTTACAAAAACAAGGTGATTAGATTTTTTTTTTTACAACCTATATGTTGTCTGGTCACTTTTAAGCCCTATTAGTGCTCAATCTCGGGTGTCCGTCCCTTGCCCATTTAAAAGTAGTTGGACACCAGTTGCTGATGGTGTCACATAATAGGGTGTTGTGGGGTTTTTGTAAAGGGAATGTTAATATGGGGAGTGTGCAGCTAAGTGCTTTAATGAAGTGTCGGGGAAGTTTATGCAATTTGCAGGAATGAGCAGGAAAGCTTTCCCAGGGTTCTTCCACGAGGCTGTGCAGGAGAACATCCTGGGCAATTGCACCGCACACAGCGATGCTTCGAGGTTCCTGAGGGTCCTGGGGCAAGATGCTCTTAGTTGGGCCCTCTTCCTGAACAGGCACCATTTAACCTGCCCATTGACCATTAGCTTGTCTCTTCTCCTCTGGCCAAATCGGCACCACCTCTCAGAGAGAGAGTGAGAGAGAAGACAAGGCACTCTAACCCAACCTGGTGCCCTTCCAGATGTTTGGGATTGCAAGTACCATCAGCTCCAGCCAGCACTGATGTGTTAGCAGGAGCTGATGGGGGCTGTAATCCAGAACATCTGGAGGTCAGGTCACCTGCATTGGGGAAGATGGTGACAGGGTGAGCCTGCTGCTCTCATTGCTTGCTTGAAGAGAGCAGGAGGCGAGTCACCAAAGAAGCTGCAGAGGCACCTATTGAGGAGTCCTCCTAACCACTAGGAGGAAGGACAAGACGTTTATTGGATAGTGTGTGTGGGGGGGTCACTGCTAGGGAACTGAATGGACAGGGGTGGAGGTCCCTGACACGTATTTGCATGCAATCTGCATATGTTCATTTATATGTAGAGATGCCTCTGGGAAATTAAGATGTTGAGAGGCTGGGGTTTCCTCACCACGACTGCACTTCATAATGCACTCAGCCGTCCTATAAGCAAAGTAAAATAAATAGTTAAAAGTTTTTTTTAAAAAAAAGGAGTGGAGGAGGAAACGAACAGATGTAAAATACCCCATGGCTCAAGGTCCCCTGGGACGCCTCCGGTGGTGCAGCAGGATTTACCAGATTTAGAGACATGCTTTTGATTTTTGTATTAAATCACACATGTGGGTGCTCTTGTTTAATTGGTTTTCTTAGATTTGGGAATGAATTCAATTAATTTAAAGGAAGCAAAGCGACGCCAGCGAGGAGCAATGGGAACTGAATTTTAGGAGGATAACGAGAAGAATTCCTTTGGAACCCTTTCAGAGAATTCCAAGGATACAGTCCCTGGGAACCACAAGTAGTAAACGGGTTTGAAAGGAAGGTATGTTTATACTGATGAGGGTAGCGCATAAAACAAAGGTGGGGTGGAAGGGTGGTGGTGGTGGGAGAATAAGAGAGATGAGGAACAGACCTCAGATGCACTACACAGAGTTGTTATCACTGAGAGAGGTGATTCAGTCAGCCAGGATATCCCCCAGGGTGATAAACAGAGCACTAAGCTGTATCTCAGTTCAAGGGTTGAGCTTTATTGGCATAATAAGGAAATGCTGAAACTAAGATTAAAGAAAGGCATTTGAGATGCATCGTGCGGAAAGAACCTGGAGGACACAAACACACCTGGAATGTCACATTTTCATAGACAATGGATGCTGGATAGATGAGGGTAAATTACCAGTACAAGTGAAAGAGTGGACTGAGAAAGCACAAAGAAGTGATTTGCAAATTCTACAGAGCAAACAGATGTGAAAGAGCAGGCTTTTGCCTAGCTCATCTGTCAGGAAGCAGCAATGGAGCTGATGACAGTTCACAGTTCTGGGTGGCATGTGACAATGCGACCAAGGGAAACAGCCAGCAACAACTTCAACTTCAATGGTGGGGGTTGGAAGCAGACCTTGATACAGGACTCTCTGAAGCTGAGCAGAGCTGTGACACATTAACCTAGTAACCAACCGAAACTTAACAGGAGGCATTCGAACAATCACTTTGCATCAATTAGTTACCTGAGAATCAGGGCTGTGTGTACTCCATGTTTTAAAAACAAAGAAACAAATCTACATCTACCTAGGGAATCCCAATTCTGCTCCAAAAAAACCTGAATTCTGTGACATAAAAGAAATTACGCAGGTTCAACTTATTTCGCAGATTTGCACAATTTAGTCTTTCATTTGTATTGGTCTGCATAATCTCTTGGTTCACGTTTTCCTGTGTAAGGACAAACCCCAGGCATTGGCAACCATTCTTTTAGTGACCTCCCTGGCTTCTGAAATTTCAGCAACTATCTACCAAACACTCCCAGACATATTGTTGCAGTACTAAGGGATAGAAACTGTTTTAAAAGCTTTGCAATCTGGCACTTGCAGGGATAACGGTTTCTTTTTATAGGAGGACCCCCAACTGGGGATAATCATGGTTGCCATTTCCAAGAAGGTGAAATCTCAAATACAATGGTTGCGTATTTGTGCAGGGTTCATGCAAAACCATGAAAAAATTGTGAATTCGTAACTCCTATGCAGTGAATGCATGCTTGGAAGGCGCAGAGAAGGATAAAGTCACACTGGTTTAAAACTGTCAAGTTGGCACTGCCCAAAGGGCAAGGCAACAGTTGCATATGATCTGCCAGCAAACAAACAAAGAATTAGACCTAGCTTAGTCACTGAGCCGGTCTTCTCAAGGGCTTGGATCTTTTTCAGATCCGTTTGCTTCCTGTTACTATTCTGGTACTCTATGCTATTATGCTCTAAAGCGCTTCTTCCCTCCCCACCCGAAACTGCCAGAATCCCAGCACCTCATTCGTATTTGGAGTCCAAGATCTGCACAGAGACCAGGCTAAGCTGAGGCTGATGGCAACCACTCCACATGCTGCAGAGCGACTCTTTCCCAGTTCATCATAGAAGTGGAGAAAGCTTTGGAGTCCACACTAAGACCCTCAGCAATTTTCAAAGTGGTCGTTGGAGGGGGCCACTAACATAGAATTCAAATGGTGTTTTTCCATAAACACGCTGCAGAACACCTGAATGAAGCTTGCAGACCATGGGTGGTCCACAGACCAGTTTGGGAACCCCTGGCCTAGAAGTTTGGATAACACAGATCATTCCAATGCACAATGCAAAGTGAGAGTCCCATCACTAAGCTATGCTAACAGAATCTCATTAACATTCCAGCGCAGTCTATGTTGCATAAGAAACTTACATGCTAAATATCTGGGGTGGGAGACAAGTGGATCCAAATTTTGTGGATGTGTGCCTAGAGGAAGAGAAGGAGGCAGGACAGGGGTGGGTGGTGAGCCAATGGAGATCGCGCTAATGGAAGAAGTGTGGAGGGAAGGGGGGGCTTTGAAAGCTCTCAGTTCAGAGCTCAAGCTGTCCCTCCCCCTGCAGCCCGATGGGTGGGGAGGAAGAAAAGAGCAGCCCCAGCTACAAACAGATTAAAGGTAAAGGTAAAGGGATCCCTTGACCATTAGGTCCAGTCGCAGACGACTCTGGGGTTGCGGCGCTCATCTCGCTTTTACTGGCCGAGGGAGCCGGCGTTTGTCCGCAGACAGCTTCCGGGTCATGTGGCCAGCATGACTAAGCCGCTTCTGGCAAACCAGAGCAGCGCACGGAAACGCCGTTTACCTTCCCGCACTTTGATGTGCTTTCGAACTGTTAGGTTGGCAGGAGCAGGGACCGAGCAACAGGAGCTCAACCCGTCGCGGGGATTCGAACCGCCGACCTTCTGATCGGCAAGCTCTAGGCTCTGTGGTTTAACCCACAGCGCCACCCATCTCCCAACAGATTACTCCTAAGGAAAAGCAACTCAGCCTCCACAGAAGAAAGGTTCCTCACCTCCTAATCTAAATAAGCATGGTATACAAAGGAACATTATATGGGATTCTCTCCCACCCCCCACCCCCCATTCCCAGATGTAGACAGAATATAATATACCCAAGTTAATACTCTGGGTTATCAAGTTAGGACCACGTGCCATTTTCAACTATCAAGTTAGCTGTGTATATGTTATTAAAACGGCGGCGGCGACACCCTACCACCAGTCATGATTCTTGTCATCATTTAACTCTTCATTTTTGGGTACTGTCTGACCATTCGCTGCAGGCATCAGGCAAATTGAGTAGAAAATAAAGGAAGTTCCCGTAAGCCAAGTACAATCCAGGGTAACAGCCACACCCAGCGTAGGAAGTTGCAAGCTACAGACCAACCTGATCTCTCTTTGAGAGACTCACGGAAGTCTTGATGAATATAGGCGTTGGAAAGGACAGATGAGGAGACAGTGGGCAGCATGGGGAGCTGCCCCAAAGAGAATGCAGACAAACTGGTGGCATTTGGTGCCACAGCGGAAAACACCAAGCTGGGTTCCCTGAAGAGATACTTACCATACACCTCAACAAGGAGGCTTGCACTTTTGCTGAGATTAGTCTCAACATTGAAAGCACTGCAGGTATAATCCCCAGTGTCGTTGAGAGTCAGATTCGAGATCAACAGCTCAGAGGTGTTCCCAATTATTCCCTCTTTAAAAATCCAAGTGTATTGAGGCGGCGGGTGGGAGTCGGCACTGCAGCTGAGGTTGAGGCTGGATCCCGTACGGTAAGTATTGATTTTGGGGCTGATTACAGGATCATCAGGCCCATCTGGAGCAAACAGAGGAGAATCACAAGTTGGGCATCATGGTGAAGGGCTAAAGAGGTGGCTCAAGGGACTAAAGAATGATATATTCCTCATTCAGTTTTTAGGAGGTACATACAGGGGAGAGGGAAGCTGGGAGGAGGTGATAGAAGGGATGAACTGAGAATTGGTGCCACTTACAGAACACTGTCAGTTCGAAGGGGGTACTGGTGTTATTGCTGATTCTGTTGACTCCAAGGCAGGTGTAGGAACCTGTATCGGACCGGCTGACCGGGTTTATTGTGAGGTTTTGGTTATCATGACTCAGAGATATATGACCTCCATCCTCCAGGCTCTGATTCCCTCTGAACCAATAGTAAGAGACCTCGCTGCCAACGGAGGTGCAAGTCAGAATCAGCGACTTGTTCTCAATGGCTTCCGACAAACCCATAATGGTAACGTCAGAAACCTCCGCTGTAAGGAAAGAATAACGAGGAGGCAGAGGGTTATCAAGGAACAAATGGTGAACAGATGCAGGGAAGGGTGTTGCAAGTTTGCCTGCAAGGACTCCCTCTTCCCTTGAAATCTTCCAAGGAGGACAGAAACGTAGTTTAAAAGCCATGTGACTGCTTTCACCAACAGAAGAACAAGAAGGACCTCAAAGATACCAAAGAAGTGCTGAGTGACAGGTGATGAACAAGGCCCTGACTGGGAACAGATGGACAATTTCCATGGACAAGAGATATTTTTGTTTTATTTTATTTGTGGACAGTCCTAAATAGAAGTTACAGTCGCTGCAAAAAGGCGCCAGAGGGAGAGACAGTGAAGCAAGTGGCTGTGAGCACCATTGCTTCGAAGGAAAGCAATAAGCTGTTGCATCAAGATTCTTATCCCGTTTCAGGAGATGCATCCTAGAGAGGACAGAGTCCTGGGAATAAGACGAACAGAAAACATACAAGAAGTTTGCCAAGACAGCAAAACACCACCGAAGGTGCATTCCATTGGTGATCTTGATTTGAAGGTCTTCATTGACAGGTGACTGATTAGATTCGAAGAGACACTGTGAGCCATGCAATATCCCATGGGAGACAAATCAATAACAGAAGGGCACCTGAGCCTGCTGGGTAGGCAGAAAATGACAGAATACCCAAGCATTTATTAGAAAAAAAGGAACAGGAGGCAAAAAGATAGCATTGGGTTTGGCTCCAGGAAGAGTCCCATGGAAACAGGAAGTGGGACAGGAGTATAAACGACTGGCGTGGCAAAAGAAATGCCAGCGAGTTAGAAGTCACGTTTGTAAGCCATGGATGCGTGTGGATACTTACCTAGTACCCAGATCTCCCGGCTTGCAGAGGTGGAGCTAGCATTGGTTTCATTGTTGAAAGCCTTGCAGGTGTAATTCCCACTGTGGTGGAACTGCAGATTGTGGATAGAAAGCTGGGAGGCGGACCCTATGTCTGATGTCTCATTGAAACTCCAGGTGTATTGCGCAGCTGGGTTGGAGTCAGCAGTGCAGGAGAGAGTGAGGTTGGAGCCCTCTGCGTAATAGTGCTCACTGGGGCCAATTTCAGGGACATCAGGCCCATCTGGAGTAAATACAGGAGAGTCAGAAGTTGGGGGAAGCCAGTGAGATCCTGGAGGGCTCAGGTGCCCCCTTTGGCAAAATGCACTGTGAGTCAGCTTGACCGGAACATGACTGTGTGTTTGGCATGTGAAGCGTGATGTTGTTTTCTTAGTTGGAAGAAAGCTGAATTGCAGATAGAAGCGCTTGTTCGGAGACAGAATAGCTGCCTTGGGAGGTTTAAACTGCCTCTTCCATATCCGGGATAAGTTTACTTACTTAGAGCATGCTTACATTTCTCTGGGAATCCTGACAAAATAATTCTCAGGATTTCCCCAAACTGTGGGAAAATCCTTGGTAGAAGTCATGACTTCCAATTACTGGTTTGTGATCTGGGAATCAATATTACAGACTCTGTTATCAGAGAGAGGAAAGCAGGAAGCAGTGGACCTAAAATGGGAAGTTGAGCAAGCTGGGCAGGACGCGGGCAATAATTTTGTTCACTGCTTTTAAGGTATCTTTGGGAACTTGTTACGGCTTATTCGTGAGCAATTTATGAAAAGAGGAACGTATAAGCTCAATTAAATGGAAAAGCTGTGTGTCAAGAACAATACACTATAAAGTGAGCCTGGCCTCTTTTTTTTAAAAATGCAATTAGCTAAGATTTCTGAAGTTTGCTGGGTGGCTGGCTTTGCTTAAGGACAAGAAGGAATTGCAAGCTTACGAGTGGCAGGTCTTGACTTGGGAGATGGTGCCTGTTGCTTTAATAGCTCCGAGGTAACACAGGAGGCAGCGACATTATTTAACTCTCCCTCATCAAAACTCAAGGAGGAGCAAACTAACATTGTGAAGCCCAATGTGGCCAGATATGCAGCAGTTGCAGTTTGAGCATTCAAAAGGGGAAATAGCTCCTTCTGGTGTCTTAGGTTTTGCCAGTAAAACATGTGTCTCTGTGTGAAATCTGAGACAAGGAAGGAGTATTGACTCAGCTAACTTCTGAGCAGCAAGGCTAGACTTTTACATCACACCATGGCCAGCCAATCACTATACAGGAAGTTGCACAATACGTACTGTGAAGGAGCTATGTGCTAAAGCACATGGTATGCCTCTACTAGGCCACAAATCTAGTCCTTGCCATCTGCAGCGAAGGATTCCAGCGGTCCAGAAATGACATCTGCCTCCGATGCTAGACAGCTACTTTGCCGCCGATTAGGCCAGGCAGTTCTATTTATTCATTCATTTATTCTGATTTCTCATTTATATCTCACCTTTTCCTCCAGGGAGCTCAAGGGGGTCTGCTTGGTTCTCCCCTCTGTATTTTATTCTACACCAAGCCGGTGAGGGAGGTTAGGATGAGAGACAGTGGCTGGTTCAAGGTCAAGCTTCATGGCTGAGCGGGAATTTGAACCTTGGGTTCCCAGGTCCTAGCCTAACACTCTAATCATTACGTTACACTGGCTCTGGATTACAGGGGCCACAGATCTTGCTCAATATGATGCAGACCCCTGAACTTCAACTTACTATGGTTGGGGCTGATGCAGTTCTTAAAAGTTGACAGCCCTGTGTGAAATCAAGTGTACGGTTAGATCAAATAAGGGCCGCTACAATGATCTTCTATCTCTCCTAGAGATTTTGATGGTACTTTCAAAATATTTTATGATATACTGAAGGAGCATCCCCACCCCTATCGTTCAACACTGAAGTCCAGCTCAGTGGGCCTTCTGGCGGTTCCCTCCCTGCGAGAAGCGAAGTTACAAGGAACCAAGCAGAGGGCCTTCTCAGTAGTGGCACCCGCCCTGTGGAATGCCCTCTCATCAGATGTCAAGGAAATAAACAACTATCAGCCTTTTAGAAAACATCTGAAGGCAGCCCTGTTTAGGGAAGTCTTTAATGTTTGATCTTTTATCGCTTTTATTATTATTATTAATAATATTCTGTTGGGAACTGCCCGGAGTGGCTGGGGTAACCCAGACAGATGGGTGGGGTATAAATATTATTATTATTATTATTATTATTATTATTATTATACTGCAATAAGTAGTAGGAGAGTTTTAAAAACAACACAGTTCTGGCAATCCGGTTCCAAAAGAAGGTAGAATGGGGGCATGAAGTAATGTTTTTAGAAGTTGTGAGTGCTGACTTTGAATGAAGTCAGTTAACTCACATGGTGGGTCTCTCTACTCTTGTGTGTTTCAGTCTTATTGAATCTGCTTGCCAGATATCCTTGTCTTTAAAAGTTATAGTCTTGCACTCTCAGGGCCTAAGTCAAGCCCCCACATGCTCCGCTCCCAGAACTGCTCCAACCCTCCCTCAATGGTAGAACCAGACTTACACAAAACATTCAGCAAGTATGAGGTGCTGTCATTAGAGAAGCTGTTATATCCATAGCAGCTGTAGCTGTCCGAGTCATTCCGGCTCGTTGGATTGAATGTGAGGACCTGGTTGTTGTTGCTCAGAGAAATGCGCTCTCCAACCACCAGGCTCTCGTTCCCTCTTAACCAAGAGTAGGAAACGTTAGTGCCTGCGGAGGTGCAGTGCAGAACTGTGGTGCTATTCTCGATGGCCTTGCCAGAGTCACTGATGGTGATATTAGTGACATATCCTGTAGAGGGAGAGAGAGAAAAGAGAGAGAAGTAGAGGGAATGATGGTGTTATCCAAGGTAAAAGTGGAGAAGTAAGTAGGCCTCCTCAGAGTCGTTTCTTCATTCTGCGTCTTGGAAGTTGAATATATCCAGCTGTCATTTAAGGAGAGGTCCTGCAGTGTGACCCGTTTGCCGCTGAGAGGTGAAACTCTTGTTTATTTTCAATTAGGAAACTCCGATAAACTAAATTCTGCAGCATAAAGGAACAAGTTGGCAGATGCAAAGAACAGGAGGGCACACATAGGAACACTTCAACATTATCGGTTGCAAAAGGTTGTCAGTGTGAAATGAATGTCCAGTCTGGGATGAATGTCAACATGGAACAAGGCAAAAGAAGTGGACAAGAAAATAGTTGATACAGTAAATAACCTAAAAACAGAAGAAGTGCAGCGAACATTAATTACAATCCCATCTCTGATGCAGTTCACAAGGAAGACGGAATCCACAGCAGTGAAGGAACTGGTGTGATGAAATCTGAAGGTTCGGCAACAGAGAATAAAAGAACAGAGTTTGCTTCTTTGGGAATGAGTTATTTGGGATTTCAGCGCAAATCAGTGGAAAATCTTCTGATCCAGGTTTTGGAATAAAGATGATCATCAACAGAGGACCAAGATAAATCCCAAGTAGAACAAAGTTAAGGAAGGCAAGCAACTAGAGGGAAAGGGTCCATTCAGGGACCCTTGCCAACTTGAACCACCACATGAATCAAATTTCTAGAAGGAAGGTTCTTGAAGACAAGGCACATAAAGAAGAAGAAATGGCAGGAACGTCTGCACATTTTGGTTCGTTATCTCGGTGTTTTTCATTGACAGGGAAAAAGTAGTGTGAGTCCGGAAATATGGTAAGAGACAGAGAGACTCCAAGACCAGGTACTGGATTTGACCTGAAGAAGAGAAACTTCATGGTACTTCAGGAACTGAACTGGAGTGATCGCCATGGATACTGTAAAGGGACAGTGAGGTGACAGAATACGAAGAATGCATCCTTTTAGCCAAAATGGCCACAAGACAGAGGTCGCGCAATCAAGTCCCCATTGTACAGATGAAGCAGTGACTACAAGGACAGTCTTATCAGCCACAGGAAGGCACAAGTTAGCCTAGGATGCAGCCTGGCTTTCAAGCTACTCACCCAGGACGCTGATCTCCAGGCTGGTGTGGCTGAAATGGCCGGTGACATCATTGGTGGCATTACAAGTATATTTGCCGGCATCATTTAGAGAAAGGTGCGAGATCAGGAGTTGGGACTCGTTCTGAGCTTCCAGAAGTTTCTCATTATGATACCAAGAATAACTGGCAGGTGGGTTGGAGTTGGCAGAACACGAGAGGTTAAGGGGGAAGTGCTCTATGTAAACTGGCTCCTGAGGGTTGATTGTGGGGATGTCGGGCCCGTCTGAAGCAAATATAGGAAAACCACATGTTGGAAAGGGCCAGGCTGTGCTGGTAGAAGAGGTGCTACTCTGTTGTTACTACACTGATGCCAAAACACAGAGCCACTGGAACTGTGTCCCCCCCCCCAACTTGCTGTCCCCATGCAACAATTCCAACCTGGAGAAATATCCCTGGGAATGGATGCTCAGTGAATATATCACCTCAGGGTTATTTGGAAGAATATCAGGACCCTAAGGGTGTGATAGGAATGCTAAATCCCCATTATTCAGCCTTTCATGTAGCAGAAAGCTGATCAGGATGCAGATAATATTCCAATCAGCCCATTGATCAAAGGGACAGATGCAGTAAAACCAAACAGTTCTTTCTGTTTTCTCCACAACTTTTGTTGGGATTGTTGAAACTGGGTGTGGCAGTGAGCCAAGTTGCTCGCAGATTTGGGAGACTCAAGGCAACTAATACCGGATCCTCTCTATAGTATTCCTCCCTACTGGCCACTAAGACTTTCAAGCTTCAGTTACAGCTTTCTGGCCTTTGGAAAATGAGAAAAGTCCCCTGAATGCTGTACACAAAGTTAGCTAAGAAACCCTTTCAACTCCGTAAAGAAGTTGTATTTTTTATTTGAAATATCTATTTGTGCACTTGGAGAGTGTCTGGGGGAGTGAGGGCGGGGCCTGTCTTGGCAGAAATGCAGCATAGGAAAAAAATCTCTAATAATAACACCAGGATTAGGGGTTAGCAATACGATTGACCTGCAGACCAATTCAGAGGTGAGTCCCAGGTGTGGGTCAAATCTCTTACTCTTCTTGAATTCATGCAGCCAGTATACTCATAGCTAGTTGCCATGGAGAGCCACACTGCTCTCAGAAAAAGAGGGAGGCTGTAGCAAATGTGTGCACAGGATAGACTCTGGCAGTTTCTCCTCCCTCCTGAAGCCAGCTGTGAAAAGGGCTCAAAGAGCAACTTTTGTCTGCTATAGAAAGTAGAATGTGATGGGGCAACCTATGAGTGACTGCGGCTGGGTTTGGACTATGGGACACCAGTTGCCCGCCATTGCCCACATAGTCAGTCTAGACTTACAGAAGATTTGCAGCCAATGTGGCTCACTGGAATTTTCAGAGAAGCTGTTGTTCCCAAAGCAGGTGTAGTTGGCCTCATCGTTCCTGGTGATTGGGTTGAGAATGAGCCTCTGGTTGTTGTTGTCTAAAGAGATATGACCACCTCCTTCAATCAGCTGGCTTCCCTTCAGCCAGTAATACGAAACATTGGTGCCAGCAGAATTGCAGTTCAAAGTGACACTATCGTTTTCTTTGGCATTAGAGGGGCCAGAAATGGTCACATTACGTACCTCTCCTGTTGAGAAAGAAAAGTTGCAAAAGGGATCCATGTTTCTTGTAGTGCAACAGCCCTGGGTTTTGGAAAAGAACCAATATTAAGAGAAACAGGCACCGGGCCCTGACAGACAAAGGAAGAGACCATTGGAAAAATCAACGCCGGGAGAGTGTTGTACTACCATTTGACAGTTTGCTTCCTCGACAACATTTAAGACAGAAGATAGCACTTCACAAAGAACAGAGATTTTGTGACCAAACATCAGAGCCATATTCTACCCCCCCCCAAAAAAAAAAACAGCTTGAAAAGACAGTGAAATGAAAGTAAGCTTTGTTATTATAAAATAAATATAAAGACTTAGTGAGAGGTGAAACCTTCCAGTTGATACCAGAGGAAGTGGGAAGACTTTGGACTCTAGCAAAACTTTGGAACCCTGAAAAGGTTGACTGCATACAAGGAACAGAAATGGTCCATTGACTGAGAGTTTGTGACTTGGAATGTGCAACACACTATGAGGAAAAGTGAGGACTGAGGCAACAATGGATAGAAGCAGATGAGAGAGGCGCATTTTTTCTTTGTTATCTGGGAGTTTTCATTGACAGGAAAAAAGTAGTGTGAGTCCAGAAATCTGGTAAGAGACAGAGAGACTCCAAGACCAGGAACTGGATTTGACCTGAAGAAGAGAAACTTCATGGTACTTCAGGAACTGAACTTGAGTAATCATCATGGATACTGTAAAGGGACAGTGAGGCGACAGAATACGAGGAATGCATCCTGGAAGCCAAAATGGCCACGAGACAGAGGTCGCGCAATCAAGTCCCCATTGTACAGATGAAGCAGTGACTACAAGGACAGTCTTATCAGCCACAGGAAGGCGCAAGTTAGCCTAGGATGCAGCCTGGCTTTCAAGCTACTCACCCAGGACGCTGATCTCCAGGCTGGTGTGGCTGAAAAGGCCGGTGACATCATTGGTGGCATTACAAGTATATTTGCCGGCATCATTTAGAGAAAGGTGCGAGATCAGGAGTTGGGACTCGTTCTGAGCTTCCAGAAGTTTCTCATTATGATACCAAGAATAATTGGCAGGTGGGTTGGAGTAGGCAGAACACGAGAGGTTAAGGGGGAAGTGCTCTATGTAAACTGGCTCCTGAGGGTTGATTGTGGGGATGTCAGGCCCGTCTGAAGTAAATATAGGAAAACCACATGTTGGAAAGGGCCAGGCTGTGCTGGTAGAAGAGGTGCTACTCTGTTGTTACTACACTGATGCCAAAACACAGAGCCACTGGAACTGTGTCCCCCCCCCCCCAACTTGCTGTCCCCATGCAACAATTCCAACCTGGAGAAATATCCCTGGGAATGGATGCTCAGTGAATATATCACCTCAGGGTTGTTTGGAAGAATATAAGTCCCCAAGGGTTTGAGCTGGGGGGTAGGAATGCTAAATCCTCATTATTTAGCCTTTCATGTAGCAGAAAGCTGATCAGGATGCAGATAATATTCCAATCAGCCCATTGATCAAAGGGACAGATGCAGTAAAACCAAACAGTTCTTTCTGTTTTCTCCACAACCTTTGTTGGGATTGTCGAAACTGGGTGTGGCAGTGAGGCAAGTTGTTCGCAGATTTGGGTGACTCAAGGCCACTAATACCGGATCCCTTCTATAGTATTCCTCCCTATTGGCCACTAGACTTTCAAGCTTCAGTTATAGCTTTCTGGCCTTTGGAAAATGAGCAAAGTCCTCTGCATGCTACACACAAGGTTACCTAAAATAACCCTTTCAACTCCATAAGGTAGTTGTATTTTTTATTTGAAATTTCTATTTGTGTACTTGGAGAGTGTCCGGGGGAGTGAGGGAGGGGCCTGTCTTGGCTGAAATGCAGCATAGGAAAAAAACCGTCTAATAATAACACTAGGATTAGGGGTTAGCAATACGATTGACCTGCAGACCAATTCATAGTTGAGTCCCAGGTATGGGTCAAATCTCTTACTCTTCTTGACTTCATGCAGCCAGTATACTCATAGCTAGTTGCAATGGAGAGCCACACTGCTCTTAGAAAAAGAGGGAGGCTATAGCAAACGTGTGCTCAGGGCAGACTCTGGCAGTTTCGACTTCCTCCTAAAGCCCGTTGTGATAAGGGCTGAAAGATATACTTTTGTCTGCTACAGAAATTAGAATGTGATGGTGAAAACTATGACTGACTGCAGCTGGGTTTGGACTATGGGACACCAGTTGCCTGCCATTGCCCACATAGTCACTCTAGACTTACAGAAGATTTGCAGCCAATGTGGCTCACTGGAACTTTCAGAGAAGCTGTTGTTCCCAAAGCAGGTATAGTTGGCCTCATCGTTCCTGTTGACTGGGTTGAGAATGAGCCTCTGGTTGTTGTTGTCTAAAGAGATATGACCTCCTCCTTCAATCAGCTGGCTTCCCTTCAGCCAGTAATACGAAACATTGGTGCCAGCAGAATTGCAGTTCAAAGTGACACTATCGTTTTCTGTGGCATTAGAGGGGCCGGAAATGGTCACATTACGTACATCTCCTGTTGAGAAAGAAAAGTTGCAAAAGGGCTCCATGTTTTTTGAAGTGCAATAGTCCTGGATTTTGATCAATTTGGAAAAGAAGCAATATTGAGAGAAACTGGCACTGGGCTCAGACAGACAAAGGAAGAGACCATTGGAAAAATCAATGCCGGGAGAGTGTTGTACTACCAGTTGACAGTTTGCTTCCTCGACAACATTTAAGACAGAAGATAGCACTTCACAAAGAACTGAGATTTTGTGGCCAAACATCAGAGCCATATTCTATCCCCGCCCCCCCAAAAAAAACCCAGTTTGAAAAGACAGTGAAATGAAAATAGCTTTGTTATTATAAAGGAAATATAAAGACTTAGTTACAGGTGAAAACTTCCAGTTGATAGCAGAGGAAGTGGGAAGAGATCTAGCAAAACTTTGGAACCCTGAAAAGGTTGACTGCATACAAGGAACAGAAATGGTCCATTGACTGAGAGTTTGTGACTTGGAATGTGCAACACACCATGAGGAAAAGTGAGGACTGAGGCAACAATGGATAGAGGCAGATGAGAGAGGCGCATTTTTTGTTTTTTTTCTGGGAGTTTTCATTGACAGGAAAAAAGTAGTGTGTCCAGAAACATGGTAAAAGACAGAGAGACTCCAAGATCAGGAACTGGATTCGACCTGAAGAAGAGAAACTTCATGGTACTTCAGGAACTGAACTGGAGTGATTGCCATGGATACTGTAAAGGGACAGTGAGGTGACAGAATACGAGGAATGCATCCTTTTAGCCAAAATGGCCACGAGACAGAGTTCGCGCAATCAAGTCCCCATTGTACAGATGAAGCAGTGACTACAAGGACAGTCTTATCAGCCACAGGAAGGCACAAGTTAGCCTAGGATGCAGCCTGGCTTTCAAGCTACTCACCCAGGACGCTGATCTCCAGGCTGGTGTGGCTGAAAAGGCCGGTGGCATCATTGGTGGCATTACAAGTATATTTGCCGGCATCATTTAGAGAAAGGTGCGAGATCAGGAGTTGGGACTCGTTCTGAGCTTCCAGAAGTTTCTCATTATGATACCAAGAATAATTGGCAGGTGGGTTGGAGTTGGCAGAACACGAGAGGTTAAGGGGGAAGTGCTCTATGTAAACTGGCTCCTGAGGGTTGATTGTGGGGATGTCGGGCCCGTCTGAAGCAAATATAGGAAAACCATATGTTGGAAAGGGCCAGGCTGTACTGGTAGAAGAGGTGCTACTCTGTTGTTACTACACTGATGCCAAGACACAGAGCCACTGGAACCTTTGTTTTTGCAACCTGCTGTCCCCGTGCGATCTTACTGACCTGGAGAAAAATGGATGCCCCACCCTGTGAATGGATGCTCAGTGAATATATGACCTCTAGGGTATTTGGGAAGATATACAGTATATCATTAAAATTGGCTCTAGGTTATAGACGACTCTTTTAGATGCAAAGAGTATGAACTTCAGGGGAAATCACTCACTACCCACTCTTGAGCCTTTCCTTTGGTATTGATCTATTAAGGAGCAGAAACATTATCAGGGTGCAGATGATATTTCAATCAGCCTATTGATCAAAAGACAGATGTATTGAAAACCAATGATTATTTCAGTTTTCTCTATGTCTTTTGTTGGGATAGCCCAAACAGGCAAAGTCCCCTGCATGCTACACACAAGGTTACCTAAAATGACACTTTCAAATCCGTAAGGAAGTTGTATTTTGTATTTGAAATTTGTGCACTAGAAGCGTTTCGGGGAGGGGTTGAGGGCTTTCTTGGATGAATTGGACAATAGAAAAAACCCTCCAACAGTAACAATGGGATTAGGGGTTAGCAATAAGATCGACCTCCGGACCAATGCATAGTTGAGTGCCAGGTGTGGGTCAAATCTCTTACTCTTCTTGACTTCATGCAGCCAGTAAACTCATAGCTAGCTGCAATGGAGAGCCACACTGCTCTCAGAAAAAGAGGGAGGCTGTAGCAAATGTGTGCACAGGATAGACTCTGGCAGTTTCTCCTCCCTCCTGAAGCCAGCTGTGATAAGGGCTGAAAGAGCCACTTTTGTCTGCTACAGAAGGTAGAATGTAATGGGGCAACCTATGAGTGACTGCGGCTGGGTTTGGACTATGGGACACCAGTTGCCTGCCATTGCCCACATAGTCAGTCTAGACTTACAGAAGATTTGCAGCCAATGTGGCTCACTGGAACTTTCAGAGAAGCTGTTGTTCCCAAAGCAGGTGTAGTTGGCCTCATCGTTCCTGGTGACTGGGTTGAGAATGAGCCTCTGGTTGTTGTTGTCTAAAGAGATATGACCTCCTCCTTCAATCAGCTGGCTTCCCATCAGCCAGTAATACGAAACATTGGTGCCAGCAGCATTGCAGTTCAAAGTGACACTATCGTTTTCTTTGGCATTAGTGGGGCCGGAAATGGTCACATTACGTACCTCTCCTGTTAAGAAAGAAAAGTTGCAAAAGGGCTGCATGTTTCATGTAGTGTAACAGCCCTGGATTTTGATCAATTTGGAAAAGAACCACTATTAAGAGAAACCGGCACTGGGCCCAGACAGACAAAGAAGAGACCATTGGAAAAATCAATGCTGGGAGAGTGTTTTACTACCAGTTGACAGTTTGCTTCCTCGACAACATTTAAGACAGAAGATAGCACTTCACAAAGAACTGAGATTTTGTGGCCAAACATCAGAGCCATATTCTACTCCCCCAAAAAACCTCCAGTTTGAAAAACAGTGAAATGAAAATTAGCTTTGTTATTATAAAGGAAATATAAAGACTTAGTTACAGGTGAAAACTTCCAGTTGATAGCAGAGGAAGTGGGAAGAGATCTAGCAAAACTTTGGAACCCTGAAAAGGTTGACTGCATACAAGGAACAGAAATGGTCCATTGACTGAGAGTTTGTGACTTGGAATGTGCAACACACCATGAGGAAAAGTGAGGACTGAGGCAACAATGGATAGAAGCAGATGAGAGAGGCGCATTTTTTCTTTGTTATCTGGGAGTTTTCATTGACAGGAAAAAAGTAGTGTGAGTCCAGAAATATGGTAAGAGACAGAGAGACTTCAAGACCAGGAACTGGATTTGACCCGAAGAAGAGAAACTTCATGGTACATCAAGAACTGAAGTGGAGTGATTGCCATGGATACTGTAAAGGGACAGTGAGGTGACAGAATACGAGGAATGAATCCTGGAAGCCAAAATGGCCATGAGACAGAGTTCGCGCAATCAAGTCCCCATTGTACAGATGAAGCAGTGACTACAAGGACAGTCTTATCAGCCACAGGAAGGCGCAAGTTAGCCTAGGATGCAGCCTGGCTTTCAAGCTACTCACCCAGGACGCTGATCTCCAGGCTGGTGTGGCTGAAAAGGCCGGTGGCATCATTGGTGGCATTACAAGTATATTTGCCGGCATCATTTAGAGAAAGATGCGAGATCAGGAGTTGGGACTCGTCCTGAGCTTCCAGAAGTTTCTCATTGTGATACCAAGAATAATTGGCAGGTGGGTTGGAGTTGGCAGAACACGAGAGGTTAAGGGGGAAGTGCTCTATGTAAACTGGCTCCTGAGGGTTGATTGTGGGGATGTCGGGCCCGTCTGAAGCAAATATAGGAAAACCACATGTTGGAAAGGGCCAGGCTGTGCTAATAGTAAGGGTGCTACTCAGATGTTACCACACTGATGCCAAAACAAAGAACTTCTGGTACCGTCCCCCCCACCCCAACCTGCTGTCCCCATGCAACAATTCCAACCTGGAGAAATATCCCTGGGAATGGATGCTCAGGGAATATATCACCTCAGGGTTATTTGGAAGAATATCAGGACCCTAAGGGTGCGATAGGAATGCTAAATCCCCATTATTCAGCCTTTCATGTAGCAGAAAGCTGATCAGGATGCAGATAATATTCCAATCAGCCCATTGATCAAAGGGACAGATGCAGTAAAACCAAACAGTTCTTTCTGTTTTCTCCACAACTTTTGTTGGGATTGTCGAAACTGGGTGTGGCAGTGAGCCAAGTTGCTCGCAGATTTGGGAGACTCAAGGCAACTAATACCGGATCCCCTCTATAGTATTCCTCCCTACTGGCCACTAAGATTTTCAAGCTTCAGTTACAGCTTTCTGGCCTTTGGAAAATGACAAAAGTCCCCTGAATGCTGTACACAAAGTTAGCTAAGAAACCCTTTCAACTTCGTAAAGAGGTTGTATTTTTTATTTGAAATTTCTATTTGTGCACTTGGAGAGTGTCTGGGGGAGTGAGGGCGGGGCCAGTTTTGGATGAAATGGAGCATAGGAAAAAATCCTCTAATAATAACAACAACAGGAATAGGGGTTAGCAATACGATTGACCTGCAGACCAATTCATAGTTGAGTCCCAGGTGTGGATCAGATCTCTATACTGGCTGCATGAAGTCAAGAAGAGTAACTCATAGATTGTTGCAATGGAGAACCACACCGCTCTCAGCAAAAGTGGGAGGCTATAGGAAATGTGTGCCCAGGACAGACTCTGGCAGTCTCTCCTCCCTCCTGAAGCCAGCTGTGATAAGGGCTGAAAGAGCCACTTCTGTCTGCTACAGAAAGTAGAATATGATGGGGCAACCTATGAGTGACTGCGGCTGGTTTTGGACTATGGGACACCAGTTGCCTGCCATTGCCCACATAGTCAGTCTAGACTTACAGAAGATTTGCAGCCAATGTGGCTCACTGGAACTTTCAGAGAAGCTGTTGTTCCCAAAGCAGGTGTAGTTGGCCTCATCGTTCCTGGTGACTGGGTTGAGAATGAGCCTCTGGTTGTTGTTGTCTAAAGAGATATGACCTCCTCCTTCAATCACCTGGCTTCCCTTCAGCCAGTAATACGAAACATTGGTGCCAGCAGCATTGCAGTTCAAAGTGACACTATTGTTTTCTTTGGCATTAGAGGGGCCGGAAATGGTCACATTACGTACCTCTCCTGTTAAGAAAGAAAAGTTGCAAAAGGGCTGCATGTTTCATGTAGTGCAATAGTCCTGGATTTTGATCAATTTGGAAAAGAAGCCATATTGAGAGAAACCGGCACTGGGCCCCGACAGACAAAGGAAGAGACCATTGGAAAAATCAATGCCGGGAGAGTGTTGTACTACCATTTGACAGTTTGCTTCCTCGACAGAATTTAAGACAGAAGATAGCACTTCACAAAGAACTGAGATTTTGTGGCCAAACATCAGAGCCATATTCTACGCCCCCCCCCAAAAAAAGACCAGCTTGAAAAGACAGTGAAATGAAAATTAGCTTTGTTATTATAAAGGAAATATAAAGACTTAGTGACAGGTGAAACCTTCCAGTTGATACCAGAGGAAGTGGGAAGACATCTAGCAAAACTTTGGAACCCTGAAAAGGTTGAGTGCATACAAGGAACAGAAATTGTCCATTGACTGAGAGTTTGTGACTTGGAATGTGCAAAACACCATGAGGAAAAGTGAGGACTGAGGAAACGATGGATAGAGGCAGATGAGAGAGGCGCATTTTTTGTTTGTTTTCTGGGAGTTTTCATTGACAGGAAAAAAGTAGTGTGAGTCCAGAAATATGGTAAGAGACAGAGAGACTCCAAGACCAGGAACTGGATTTGACCTGAAGAAGAGAAACTTCATGGTACTTCAGGAACTGAACTTGAGTAATCATCATGGATACTGTAAAGGGACAGTGAGGTGACAGAATACGAGGAATGCATCCTTTTAGCCAAAATGGCCACGAGACAGAGGTCACGCAATCAAGTCCCCATTGTACAGATGAAGCAGTGACTACAAGGACAGTCTTATCAGCCACAGGAAGGCGCAAGTTAGCCTAGGATGCAGCCTGGCTTTCAAGCTACTCACCCAGGACGCTGATCTCCAGGCTGGTGTGGCTGAAAAGGCCGGTGGCATCATTGGTGGCATTACAAGTATAATTGCCGGCATCATTTAGAGAAAGGTGCGAGATCAGGAGTTGGGACTCATTCTGAGCTTCCAGAAGTTTCTCATTATGATACCAAGAATAATTGGCAGGTGGGTTGGAGTTGGCAGAACACGAGAGGTTAAGGGTGGATTGGTCTCTATAAACTGGCTCCTGAGGGTTGATTGTGGGGATGTCGGGCCCGTCTGAAGCAAATATAGGAAAGCCACACGTTGGAAAGGGCCAGGCTGTGCTAGTAGGAAGGGTGCTACTCAGTTGTTACTACACTGATGCCAAGACACAAAGCCCTTGGAACCTTTGTTTTTGCAACCTGCTGTCCCCATGCAATCTTACTGACCTGGAGAAAAATGGATGCCCCACCCTGGGAATGGATGCTCAGTGAATATATGACCTCTAGGGTATTTGGGAAGATATAAAGTATATCATTAATTTGCTCTAGGTAATAGATGACTCTTTTAGATGCAAAGAGTATGAACTTCAGGGGAAATCACTCACTACCCACTCTTGAGCCTTTCCTTTGGTATTAATCTATTAAGGAGCAGAAACCTGATCAGGGTGCAGATGAGATTTCAATCAGCCTATTGATCAAAAGACAGATGTATTGGAAACCAATGATTACTTCAGTTTTCTCTATGTCTTTTGTTGGGATAGCCCAAACAGGCAAAGATCCCTTCATGCTGCACACAAGGTTACCTAAAATTACCCTTTCAACTCCATAAGGAAGTTGCATTTTGTATTTGAAATTTCTATTTGTGCACTTGGAGAGTGTCTGGGGGTGGGGCTTTCTTGGATAAAATGGAGAATAGAAAAAATCCTCCAACAATAACAATAGAATTAGGGGTTAGCAATACGATTGACCTGCAGACCAATTCATAGTTGAGTCCCAGGTGTGGGTCAAATCTCTTACTCTTCTTGACTTCATGCAGCCAGTATACTCATAGCTAGTTGCAATGGAGAGCCACACTGTTCTCAGAAAAAGAGGGAGGCTGTAGCAAATGTGTGCTCTGAAGCCAGCTGTGATGAGGGCTAAAAAAGCCACTTCTGTCTGCTACAGAAAGTAGAATATGCTGGGGCAACCTATGACTGACTGTGGCTGGGTTTGGACTATGGGACACCAGTTGCCTGCCATTGCCCACATAGTCAGTCTAGACTTACAGAAGATTTGCAGCCAATGTGGCTCACTGGAACTTTCAGAGAAGCTGTTGTTCCCAAAGCAGGTGTAGTTGGCCTCATCGTTCCTGGTGACTGGGTTGAGAATGAGCCTCTGGTTGTTGTTGTCTAAAGAGATATGACCACCTCCTTCAATCAGCTGGCTTCCCTTCAGCCAGTAATACGAAACATTGGTGCCAGCAGAATTGCAGTTCAAAGTGACACTATCGTTTTCTTTGGCATTAGAGGGGCCGGAAATGGTCACATTACGTACCTCTCCTGTTGAGAAAGAAAAGTTGCAAAAGGGCTGCATGTTTCCTGTAGCGCAATAGCCCTGGATTTTGATCAATTTGGAAAAGGAGCAATATTGAGAGAAACCGGCACTGGGCCCAGACAGACAAAGAAGAGACCATTGGAAAAATCAATGCCGGAAGTGTGTTGTACTACCAGTTGACAGTTTGCTTCCTCGACAACATTTAAGACAGAAGATAGCACTTCACAAAGAACTGAGATTTTGTGGCCAAACATCAGAGCCATATTCTACCCCTCCCAAAAAAAAAACCCAGTTTGAAAAGACAGTGAAAAATCACTGGAAAAATCAATGCCGGGAGAGTGTTGTACTACCAGTTGATAATTTGCTTCCCAGAGAAGATTTAAGACAGAAGGTAAAATCTCACAAAGAACTGAGATTTTTTGGCTAACAATCAGCACCATATTCCATCCTGACCCCACACACACAAAAAAGCTTGTAAACGAAAACTGGCTTTGCAAAGGAAATATTGAGGCTTAGTGGCATGTGCAAGCTTCCTGTTGATATCAGAGTGGGAAGACATCTAGCAAAACTTTGGCACCCCAAAGGAAAAGATTGACAGCATACAAAAAACCAAAAAAAAACAAATCAAATGGTCATAGTTGAGATGAAAAATCTAATGCATCAAGAATGCTGGCTTGGACATACCCTAAGGGAGAAAGGACATGAAAATAAAACAAACAAGAGTCAGCCACTGGATGAAAGCACAGTGGGATCACAGCATGAGAGACAACAAGCTAAGCGCTGGAGGTCCAAATTCAGATATAAAGAGAACACTTCATCAACCCAAATTGACAGCAGGGCGTAATCAGTAAACAGGTCGGAGCAGATCATGTTCCTTCAATAGTGGCAACAGATAGCCATTCTCGAGCTACTCACCCACCACCTCAATTTCCAGGGTGGTGTTTTTCTGGTCACGAGTCACTTTATTCACCGCTTTGCAGAGATACGTCCCAGACTGCTCCACAGAAATGTCTCGGATGAGCAGTTGGGATCCATCAGAATATTTTGTCCCATTGATAAACCAAGTATAGACAATAGCAGGCTCTCCACTAGCTGTGCAGGTGAGCTGGATGTCAGAATGCTCATTGTAAACGCTTGTATTTGGCTGGATCTCAGGTGTTTCGGGTCCAACTGAGGCAAACAGATGAAGCTACCATGTTGTTATTCCAGAAGGCGACTGAGATTCCCTCCCATCCCTTCGCAACATGAAAGATTCCTTCACCAGAACAAGATGGAGCCAGAAAGACAGGGAATTTTTAGCCCCCTGATGTTCCAGGGAAAGGTGACAGACACAAGTAAATAGAACAGTGCTAAGAGAGAACCCTTGCTAGGACTTATCCCTTCACATGGGTCTATTTGCTCCTCCTTGACAGGCATCCTAGGGACCTGTGCATCTCACCCCTAGAAGATGTTATGACAACAAGCTTGGTGTATCTCCATACAGATCTACAGTGATGAGTCTTAGCTGCAGGCTGCTGGTTTTCGTCATTGTCACCTTGGTACGCATCCTTCCCCTTTGTTCCACCTCTGCTTTCTGGTTGCAAAATGAGATCCAAAGAACCCACTTCAGTCAATTTCTGCACAGCTACTATAGGGCACTGCTCAGCAGCTTCTGGAATTACACTGAGGTTGCATCCACACTAGTCTCTTCCCTAGGAGTTGCCTTCCTTTGCTCCTTCACTTTTTATGGGAAATTGTTGTGTCCCAGGGTTTTCTGTGTTGTCTTCGAACCTGACATATGGAGGTATGAGCAGGTAAAGGTAAAGGGACCCCTGACCGTTAGGTCCAGTCGCGGACGACTCTGGGGTTGCAGCACTCATCTCGCTTTACTGGCCGAGGGAACCGGTGTACAGCTTCCGGGTCATGTGGTCAGCATGACAAAGCCGCTTCTGGCGAACCAGAGCAGCGCACGGAAACGCCGTTTACCTTCCCACCGGAGCGGTACCTATTTATCTACTTGCACTTTGACGTGCTTTCGAACTGCTAGGTTGGCAGGAGCAGGGACCGAGCAATGGGAGCTCACCCGTTGCGGGGATTCGAACCGCCGACCTTCTGATTGGTATGCCCTAGGCTCTGTGGTTTAACCCACAGCGCCACCCACGTCCCTTGGTATAAAATGTAATTCTAGCCTATAAAATGTAATTCTAGCCTAAACATGATGCCTGGTGTGGATAAAATATTACCAAGGCTTTCAAGGGGGCCTTTCTTGAATGGGATGCTTTTGTGAGTAGACCTTATAGAAGGATCCTGGCCATATGGACAGCTATTGCTGGATACAAAATGGTACAGTATTAAGCACCATCTATTTTAATTCCATTTCCAGCTAGCTGTGGAAGAGCAATGCCTCAGTAGCATACAAGGGGAAGCTATTTAAGTGAGACCATTTGCCCAGCTAACACAATACTTATTGAATGCAACTGGTAATAGGTCTCCAAGATCTCAGGCAAAGGTATTTTCCATAACCTTTCACTTGAGGTGTGAGGCACAGAATCCAGAAACTTCTGTATTCAGAGCATGCAACTTTATCTTGTTGAACTATAGGACTGTCATTGAAATGGCCCACAATGCAACTTACTGGCAAACACAATTTGTATTGTGTTATTTTATGCACTGTGACTTGCTGCTATTTTTGTTGATTATTGTTTGGAAATTATTTATCGTGATTGTTAAAAGTGAATTTCTGTTTAATTATTATTTGCTGATATTTAACTTCATTGTGTGCTATTATTATATTCTAATGGATGATTGAATATTAGTTTATTTGATATAAGTTGCTTATTTTAGGCTTTCATCATGACATTTTTGTATAGGATCAGATTGTCACAAGGTGTGCAATCTTTGTTATATAGTAATATACTTGCGCAGAGTAATATAAAAAGACGGTATACAAATCAGAAATGAAATGAAAATGAGAGGACAGTACCAACAGGTACAGGGCAGGAAGGAAATAATAAAAATTCCTTTTGAACTGTAGGCAGAGAGGGCAGGACTGAGAAAATTAGCAGGACCGAGAGAAGTGCCCTCAGTGTTTAGTTTGAGCCATGGCTGAGACCAGGATCAAACTTTCTATTCATTGTCAGGGCTCAGAACTAGGAAGAAGGAAATAAATCAATTGTACAAACAGCACCTGTTGGAGGACAACCTGCCAGTACTAGCTGGCACCATTTCCAGACACTGCTGTTCCTATTCTACCTGTCTCTAGGGAGAACTGGAATGACCTTTATTTAGATGACGCAATAAAAATGCTCAACTGGCTGATTCCTATTCTGCAGGGACACAGAATACAGCACAGGAGCGATGGCTGCACAAACTAGCAGCCTCTGAGAGATGTTCTCTGGGATGTGCCACAGGACGTGGCACAGGAGGAAGTCCACCTGACAGGGATGGCTCGAAATACTTTGCTGCCCCTGGCAAAAAGTTGGCCCTCAGCCTTCTTGTATGCAACCAGGGAGGTGGCGGCGTTTCATTTTTTTTACTTATTTATGCCTTCATTGTAATTATTTATCGTCCTGCCTTTATGAACGAGTTCTCCCAAGGAGGCCGGCAAGTGAAAAGATCAAAACAATAAGCATTAAAAATGCAGCACAGAAAGATTGTGTTTCCTTTGCAAAGGGTTTCCCTGATTGAATCCTCCTTAGTGGAGGAAACAGACTATTCACAGCTCTATTCATTTATATGGAATGGGGGAAAAGTGGCTGCAGTCAGATCATTTAGCCCTACAGATCAGAGATGGCTGTGCACTGTTTCCATAGAGGATTTCCCCAATGGGTCTGGAGCCCCCAGCCTTCTGTCCTGCCAGACATTCAAAACTTTTGTGGATCGTTCATAGTTTGCGTGCTCTGTCCATAACTAAAACAGAAACACTAGAATTTATGGCTAAAGTTCGTTAATACATTGGCAGGATTTTTAAAACACTTGTAATTTTAGAAATAGTACAGGAAATCTGAGGTAAAAAATAATTTGTAGTAATGATATGCAGCTGAAAAGAAAAGGAACTGGGGGTGGGTGGGTGGAAGGGAAGTCATGGGGTTCAGAGAATCCCATTTTATGGATTTGATATTGTTTTTGTGCCTGTTTTTTCTTTGTTTTTGGTTGTTATTGTATTTGTCAGTGTGGTTTTTTTTGTTGAAAATTTAATTACAAAATTATTTAAAGAAATTATGGCTAAAGTTCATCCAGACGTTTCTGAAGGCCAAGTTGTGTCCCTGAGCGGACTTAAAATAAATTTTGCCTTCAGTTTTTTAAAAAAATGCATGTTGTGTCTGTGTATGAGGGCAAAGGTTTCTGAAGACAGCAAAGAACAGCAGCTTTCCAGTAGACTAATAGGGGAAGCCATTTTGCTGAAACAATAATAATCAATCTCATTTTATATGCGATAGCCGGTGAAATTGAATTTACTATTTGGAGAATAAGGAACTTTAATGACCGTTAGGCACTGTGGGCCTGTTTTCCCAGCTCTGCCTTTCTAATAACTGAAATAATTACCAAGATGGGACCAGATATATACTATAGTCACAACAATGAACTCTTTGACGTCTGGCTCATTCTGCCTCAGTTTTGCCAGTGCAGCCCCCAAAAGTTGCAAGCTTTGTTCTGCATTTAAATCTATCCCCAAGAACACTTTTTAAACACTTTTTGAACTACCACAAACTATATTATTGGGGTGGAGAAGGGAGAGTTGTGTGGCCAATGTGGGCTAACTCGGAGCCTCAAAATCGCACCTCCTTTGATAAAAGGCATAGCTGCGGCTATATTCCCTTTGTTGCAGGAAGAGCCATGTTAATAAACCTCCTTTTTCAGCTCCCTAGCAGAGCAGGCCTTTATGCCTTTCGGTTGCAAAAGGCCGCCCCTGTCCTGCCTCGCCTCGCTTGCCTGGGTGCCCTTTTACCCAAGGGAGTCATAGTGAGCGGTGCCAGTAACCTGCGCTTGATGCCAGCAAATAAAAACAGTTGTCAAGTTAATGAGA